AATGCTGCGGGAACTCCATTTTATCCAGTACTACTTTTAAAAAAGCTCCAACGAAGCCTATCGTAGGCTTTTGTTCATGTCTAGCTTTTAAAGCGCTATAACNCCTTTCCCTTTCTTCTTCTTTGTCACAGTATCTAGAATTTCTGCTCCAATTGCTACATTGTCATGGATGTTTCTCCCTTGTATGAAAGCTGATTGGAAAGGGGTGATTAAGTTTTGCAAGCAAAGTTTTAGCCTATTAACCAGCACCCTTGAGCCAATTTTATAAACCACTGTACAGAGGCTAATGGGTCTGAAGTCATTAACAGACTCTAGATTTTTAACCTTGGGGATAAGTGCTATGAGTGTTCTGTTGAGTTCTTTGAGGATGAAACCAGAATTTAGGAAAGATAAAACTGCATTTGTTGTATCCTCTCCTACAATATGCCAGTATTTTTAAAAGAAAAGGCAGGCTTACCATCAATCCTGGTGCTTTGAAGGGTCCCATTTCAAAAACTGCCTTCCTGATTTCCTCCCTACTGAAAGGTGAATTAAGAACATCTTTATGTTCTTGAGCAAGCTTGGGAATCTGAATACTCGCCAGCTTCTCTCTTATTATGTTCTCATTAGCATCCCCATGGTTTGAGAATACCTTTCTAAAATGCTCTAGAAACTCATGTTCAATCTCGCATAGATCTTCTGTGGTCGTTCCATTTCTCCTTTTTATGCTTGTAATCCTATTTCTTGCTCTCCTTTTCTTTGTCAAAGTATGATAGAAGTTGGTGTTTCTATCTCCCTTCACTATCCAGTTAGTTTTTGACTTTTGCATCCATAGTAGCTGTTCTTGTTCCATTACTTCTTCCAGCTGTCTTCTAAGTTCTTTTTCCTCAAGTTCACTCCTAGGTTGGTCTATAGACTGTTGTACTTTTTCCAATTCTTTCTCAATTTTGTTCTTCCTCTGGAATAGGTTCCCAAAGGAGGTTTTGTTCCATCTCTTTAGTACATCTCTAGTGCATTTAAGCTTATGTACTAGCTTGTAAGCTGCAGATCCTACCAGTTGTTGGTTCCACCCTTCTTTTATCACCTCTTCACATTGTGGGTTGAGTGACCACATCATTTTAAAACGGTAAGGTCTCTTTCTGAAGCCTTCTTTTCTGTTAAATTGTAGCAGCATGGGGCTATGGTCTGATATTGTTATTGGGAGGTTGGTGAGTACTACATGTTCATAAATCTGAAACCATGTTGCATTTGCAAAAGCTCTGTCCAGTCTTTCCCAAGTGCAGATTCCTGGGTCCCTTCTGTTTGACCATGTGTAATGCAACCCTCTGAAGTTAACTTCTGATAGGTTGCAATAGTCCAAGCATTGTTGGAAATCCTCTGACCCCTGTAGAGAGGTGGATGTTTTGGATAGTTTATCAGATTGGTACAGGACTTGGTTGAAATCCCCCACCACTATCCATTCCTCATTGTTGGGTATGTTAGACCTAATCTGGATAAGTTGGTTCCACACTTTCTTTCTACTCTTTAGTTCTGGGCATCCATAGATGCATGTTACCCAGCTTTTTGTCTTACCCAAATCCACATACAACAAAAAGACATTTTTATTAAAGGACATAATGGTAACCTTTACAGAGTCATTCCACAAAAGTAGGTTACCACCACTAAGTCCTACTGACGAAGATCCTACACTATGGTGAAAACCCCAGCTCCTAGTGAGCCTTCTAACTTTTTCTACTGAACATTTAATTTCCATGATAAAGAAAATAGAGGGATTATATTTATTTATAAGGTCTCTACCATGTTGCACCGTTAGAGGCTGATCAATACCTCTAACGTTCCAACTGATGAGATTCATAGGTTTGTGGGAGGCTGTTTTGGGACAGCCTGCCTTAACCCCAGTTCTCTCTCCTGTGAGTCTCTGATTATTATAGGTCTCCCTGGTTGCTGCATCATTTCCCAAGCTTCATCCATTACTAGTTCCTGCATCCTCTATCTGATCCTCCTCCTACCTTCTGAGTCTGACTCACTTTCCTCTTGTTCCTCTCTAATTCTCTTTCCTTTTCTGTCTTTCTCTATCTTCTGTGTTTGCTATTCTTTGTCCTCCTCTGATGGTGAATCCTTTAGGAAAAGTGACACATAATCCTCCTCATTTACAGTGCACCTATATGCTGGGTTGGTTAAGTTACCTTCCTGCATCTCATCAGCATTTTGTTCGATTCCCACCTCTCTTAATGGTGCCTCATGTTCTTCTCCTTCTTCTGTTATTGTGTGCAGGTTCCTTGACAGATCTTGCATTTGAAAGTTGTAGGTGCTGTTGCCTATTAGTCTGAAATTCTCAGATTCTTCTGCTTTCATTATCAGCTGTAATTGAAGATCCACCAGCTCCTTGTATTCGGTCTCTTCCTCTTGAGCCCTTCTCTCTGCCATGGCACTGCTTTCTGCCTCCCGTCCTTCTTCTTGAACCAGCTTAGCATTTGTAAAAGTAGTACCTCCCGTTGGCAGATTTACCCATCTTGGCTCGCAACTCTGAACATAAGGAGTGTTTAAATGTCTCATCTGAATCCCCAATAGCATGTAGTCACTCTGCCTCACGATTTCCTGACAGATATGCTCAAAATGTGATTGTTCCCTAGCCAACGAAAACATCATATCGTCGTAATCTGCCTGGTTTTGGAAACCATTCTCGTGCCTAGCAAAAATTCTTTCTGTTCTCTCAACAGAATGGTGGAACTCTCTTACTGGATCCTCTATTGGGCTAAGAGGATACTGACCATCCCCCATCTCAGCCTCAATGAGAGGACTAGGTTGGTTTCGATGCCTCTGTGTAAGGTGCCTAAACTCTTCTCGTAGATTTGCCACTCTGATATCTAGATTCCTATTGAAAATCTCAGTTTCACTTTCTTCAAAGGTAGGTATTACCTCCGTGAAATCTCTGATTGCTCCTAGACTTGCTGTCTCCCTTTGTCTCTGAATTGGTGGGACTATTTCTTCTAGTGGTTGTGTAGCATCTGGCAAATCTTCCAACTCTATTTGTTCAGTTGTTTCCTGCTGCTCGTTTTCATGCATGGGTTGTGTAACTTGTTCAGCATTTTCCACCTGAGTTTCTCTTCTGGCATTCTGCTCTTCTTCTTGAATTTGTGTCTAAAGTTGTGTTGAAGGGTTTTGGTCATTCTCCATTGCTTGTGCTTCCTGGAGTATTTCATTGATTTGCTCCTGAGTTAGGTTGCTTCCTTCATTTTGGAGTGCATGTAAAGGCCGACTCTGCTGTTGTTGTGGTGGGTTAATTTCCAAAGGCTGGTTGTTTTGGAAATCCTGCTGTGGCCTCATGTTTTCCAAAAAGCTTGCTTGAACTCTTCTCCTTTGCTCATCAGTGATTTGATTTCGATTAACCTGCCTATATCCGATCCTTGTATTTCTCCTGCTAACCCTTGTGAGATAGGCTCTCATTTGGTTGGAGAAGTGAGTCTCATCGATTTCTGTCACTATAGGTAGATTGTGACGCTGGCTGGTTCTGTTCATGCTGAGGTTGATTCTCCTTTCAACCTCTTCAAAGGAGCTGTTGCAGTATCTATGCGTTTGTCCAATTTCACCGCAGTTCAAGCAAAACTTCTGGATCCTTTCATAGCGAAATCTAACCCATTGGTTGGAGCCATCGTCTCTTTCGAGAGTGCAACCAGGCGTTAGTGGAACTGATAAATCAACACTTACTTTGATTCTCAGAAATCTGATGTTTCTTGGCCTCCTACTTTCCCAGTCAATCTGCAGCACTTCTCCCGCCGAGAGTGCCATTCTTCTCGCCACCAGCGGTTGCTGATATTCATATGGCAGGTCCCATATTTGTAACCATAAGTTAATCCTTTGGAGTCTTGCCTGAGCGAGTGGAACATTTGGGTCCATGGTTGCATCACAAAAATTCCTCCATCAATTGCCCATGGGTTGGCCAGCACTCCAACTCTTCTGTCGATTTCTCGTTCAAAATGGATCAGGAAACGATTATCATCCCTTCCAAGCACTGTTGCTGCTCCTCTTAGCTCCCATTCGTGATTGATATATCTTTGCACAAATTCAGTTGAAAATTTCCTGATGTCTAGCAGAAAACCCACTAAACACTCTCTCTCTTCACTCCTTCTTTCCTCCAACTCCTCCGATGAGAAGCTAAATAGATGGCTCCTCCTTCTTCGCAGTTCTGGAGGTGGATGTGGGTTGTTAGCCTGGCGGCTTTCAGCACTTTCGCCAGTGTCATTGGAGGACGAATCACTGTCCGTCCAACTACACTCTCTCATCAGTCTGATTCTGGTGTTATCTGGTGGATTCATTTTCTTTGTTGAGCTTTGTTTGAAGTGATTTAGGAACTCTGAAAGAGGGTTGATTGATTTCATTGTGGTAGCTGGTTTAAAAAAGGGGGAGAAACGAAGGCTCGTTCGTTTCATCTTGAGTGTCGCCTCGATCTTCATCGTTAGCAATAAATGCGAACCTCGACACCACGCGAAAATACGGCTTGGCTCTTTGAAAAGAGAGTTATTCTTTCCTCGGATTGGATAAGTCATAAGGATTCTTAGGGAAACAAAACGACACTACTGATCCCTCATAAAAACTTCCAGAGTAGATAGAACGATCCTTCGAAGGAAGGAAAAACGATTGGATTGTAATTAATAGCGTTAGCACGGGTGGAAGGAAAAAAGGAATAAGAGATCTTTGTCCTCTGACTAATCTGTGGCTAGAGGACTTGGATTGGTCCTGTAAAAGGAAAACCAAACGTTCCGACAACGGAATAAAACCCTAATGGATAAACTTTTGCAGAGAAAAAAGTAACCAATAAATAAAATCAGTTAGATTTAACTAGGTTGGTGTGTAGATTGACAGTTTTCATTTAGGTAGTGAATAAGAACAAGAAAGAAAACCAAATAAGGTTAAAGATTAGGGTTCCGGCACCTTCCGGCAGCCTCTTCCTAAAAGAGGAAAGACTCTTTGGTTGAGAGAAGCGCGTAACTGTCACGCGTCTATTTGTTTAGTATATAGTTCTAAGTTTCCATCATCATTTGTTGTTACTATTTGTTAACACTTTTTTTTATTAATGTCAAATGAGTCAATACTCAATAGTTGCTTATAAAAGTCTAACCCGGCATAGAAAGCGCAAAAGGAAACCGAACAAAAAAAAATGAAAAAAAAAAGGAAAAAAAAAAAGAAAAGAAAAGTCTAACCAACAGACCATTGCGACTATTGGAGCTATAAATTTTTTAAGCAATCCTAAAATTATATTGTTCTTGCTCTATAAATTGCTAACTTAGAGACATTCAACAATAAGAAGCTTCTTATTATACAAATGCATGTTGCGTTGATAAGTAAAATGAGTTCAATGTCCTTTAAATAGGATTTTGGATTCGAATAATTATTGTAAACGAAGTAGACAATGGAAAAGTTCCTCGCTTTGGGATTCGATACGACTTTACTTCGATTTAGTCGGAATCCTTGTTGCTACCGAAACCAAGGGATTCATATAATAACAAAAAGTTTTTTTTTTCAAGCTTCTTACTTTTAAGGTTAGAATGTTTTGTGCGTAACATTTAGATTCGAATATTAATGAATCAAAAATATCATAATATGAAAAATAATTTTGGACCAATCAAAAATATTTCACCAATGGTCTCATGAAAATAAGTTTACATGACTAGTTTTAGCTTTCACGTGCGTTGCACGTGACACTACGTGTTTAAATAAAATATTCATATGAAATTATGATAATATCTCTATTAATTACACTATTTTTTATGATCCCATTATGAAATTTTGATAACCTTCCTATCAAATTTTAATAACGATACTATGGAATTTCGAGGACCTTTTTATAATTTTTTTTAACCTTCTTATGAAATTTGGTTAACCTCCGTAAGGAATTTTGAAGATCTCAATATGAAATTTTGATAACTTCCCAATGAAATTTTGATAACCAACACTATGAGATGTTGATAACCTCAATATGATATATTGATAACCACGTTATGAAAATTTTAAAACCTCCATATGAATTGTTAGTAATCACACTCTGAAATTTTGATAATCACACTATGAAATTGTGATAATCTCGCTATGAAATTTTGATAAATCTTCCTATAAAATTTTGATAAACCTCCCTATAAAATTTTGATAACTTTCTTATGAAATCTTGATAACTACAAATTTTGATAACCCCCCTATGATTTTTTGATAACCTCATTATGAATTTTTGTTAATCTCCCTATGAAATTTTGATCTACATACTATGAAACTTTTATAACCCTCTTGTGAAATTTTGAAAACTAAACTATGAAATTTTAATAACCTTCATATGAAATTTTGATATCCTCCTTGAAATTTTGATTACTCCATAATAAAAGTTTAATAACCTTCCTAATTTGGTAACCATACTATGAAATTTTGATAACCTCCTCAGAAATACCACTATGAAATTTTCGTAATCACATTTTGAAAATTTGATAACCTCTTTATAAAACTTTGTTGACCCCTCTATGAAATTCTGATAATCACATTATGTAATTTTGATAACCTCGCTTTGAAATTTTGATAACAACACTATGAAATTTTGATAATCTTTCTATAAATTTTGATAATCCGATCTCTATGAAATTACGATAATCACTTTATGAGATTTGATAACCTTCTATCAAATTTTGGTAATCCTTATGAAATTGAGACTTTTATAACCTTCATATGAAATTTTGATAACCACACTATAAAATTTTGATAACCTCCCCATGAAATATTTAATGAAATTTTGTTAACCACACTATGAAATTCTTATAACCTTGCTATGACATTTTGATAATCTCTTTGATAACCTTTTTATAAAATTGTGATAATTAACCACCATATGAAATTTCAATAACCAACCTAAGAGATTTTAATAACCTGCTCCTATGAAATTTTGGTAACGACACTATGGAATTTTGGTAACCACCTCATGAAATTATACTAACCATCTTATGAAATTTTGATAACCACATAGAGACAAGAAAATCAAAATCATAATATCACCTACTCTTCTAACTCAACAATTTCCAATTAAACAAAGTGATACGGCAAAACATTATATAACGAAGAGATGGAGTTTCACTAACAATAGTATTGTATGTGTTAGTATTAGTTTAATCTTTTTATTGACATTTAAAAATTGAAATTAAAAGTAAAATATTAAATTCAAAAAATAATAGTAATGGAAATTTGCATGTTTATCAACTAAAATCAATTTGACAAACTTATAATTCGGTCTAAATTAAAAAATTTAATTAATTTTGAAATAATAAAATTATACTAAATTTTAATAATGGAAATTTAAGACCAAAGACAAAGCAAAATTAAATACAACGATTGGAAACAAAGACAAAAGACAAAATTAAATAGGACGTTGGAAACAAAAAAAGCCAAATTGACTTTCTTATAATTTAATACACGCATTATATAATTAAGATTAAAAAATAATGGAATAATTAAAATATTATTTAGTAATGGCAATTTAGAAATACGTTTTAAAGACAATGGTACAATTGAAATATGTTTTAAAAATAAGGGTACAATCGGAAAATATAAAGTTTCCCCTTATTCTTACTTTTATTATATACTGGTTTTAACTTTCACGTGCGTTGCATGTGGTCCAACGTGTTTAAATAAAATATTCATATGAGATTATGAACCCCTCTATTAAATTATGATTACACTAATTTTTATGATCCAATTATGAAATTTTGATAACCTTCCTATGAAATTTTAATAATGATACTATGGAATTTCGAGAAACTTTTTATAATTTTTTTTTAACCTTCTTATGAAATTTTATTTTATTAACCTCCCTAAGGAATTTTGAAGACCTCAATATGAAATTTTGATAACTTCTCAATGAAATTTTGATAACCAACACTATGAGATGTTGATAACCTCCATATGATATATTGGTAACTACATTATGAAAATTTAAAAACCTCCATATGAATTGTTGGTAATCACACTCTGAAATTTTGATAATCACACTATGAAATTGTGATAACCTCGCTATGAAATTTTGATAAATCTTCCTATAAAATTTTGATAAACCTCCCTATAAAATTTTGATAACTTTCTTATGAAATCTTGATAACTACAAATTTTGATAACCTCCCTATGATTTTTTGATAACCTCATTATAAAATTTTGTTAATCTCCCTATGAAATTTTGATCTGCATACTATGAAATTTTGATAACCCTCTTATGAAATTTTGAAAATTAAACTATGAATGTTTGATATCCTCCCTGAAATTTTGATTACTCCATAATAAAAGTTTAATAACCTTCCTAATTTGGTAACCATACTATGAAATTTTGATAACCTCCTCAGAAATACAACTATGAAATTTTTGTAATCACATTCTGAAAATTTGATAACCTCTTTATGAAATTTTGATAACATCTTTATAAAATTTTGTTGACCCCTCTATGAAATTCTGATAATCACATTATGTAATTTTGATAACCTCACTTTGAAATTTTGATAACAACACTATGGAATTTTGACAATCTTCCTATAAATTTTGATAATCTAATCTCTATGAAATTTCGATAATCACTCTATGAGATTTAATAACCTTCTATCAAATTTTGGTACTCCTTATGAAATTGAGACTTTTATAACCTTCATATTGAATTTTGATAACCACACTATAAAATTTTGATAATCTCCCCATGAAATATTAGTAACCTCTCCTAATAAAATTTTGTTAACCACACTATGAAATTCTTATAACCTTGCTATGACATTTTGATAATCTCTTTGATAACCTTTCTATAAAATTGTGAAAATTAACCACCCTATGAAATTTCAATAACCAACCTAAGAAATTTTGGTAACCATACTATGAAATTTTGATAACTTCCATATGAAATTTT